AATTTGGCCTACTTTTTCCCTTATGGTTCAGGAATCTTCGAAGAGGTGCCACGGGTGACAAGATGTTAACTACCTTGGCTGGTATGGAGGCGGTCGTCGGTTCGATCCCGGCCCTTATGACTGTATATTTGGAGTTTACATGTTCTCTCGGTGGTCGCGTTGATTTTTCTCAATGTTCTCCCGCTTGTCCCTCCATTTAGAATCAACATGCGTTTAGCTGCTATACATTTCCACATGATGATAAGCCACTTAGTTGAGCTATCATTTGTAGACAGGTGGCTTCTGAACAAGAGCTGTATAGCGTAGTGGGCCTTACCTGGTAAAATACAATTTGTTTTGCTTAGTTTAGGTGGCGAGCATCAACAATCGACCCCACCACACACAACCTGCTCGATCGACTAAATTATAAACTACACTTTTATTTTACCAGGCAAGGCCCCACTGAGCCATAGAGCTCTTTTTCAGAAGCGACCTGACCACAAATGATAGCTCAACGAAGTGGCTTATCACGTGGACATTTATAGCAGCCAAATGCTCTAAACGCGTGTTTGTAAATGTGGTCGGGAAAACCAGAGGACCCGGAGAAAAAAAATATCCACGTGACCACGGGGAGAACATGCAAACTCCAAATATACAGGCATCGGGTTCGGGATCGAACCCACGACCTGCTGTATACCAGGCGAGGTAGTTAGCAATAGTATTACTGTGGCGCCCCAATGGTTGTGCCCATCTATAACAGCTGAGTGGACGAAGGCGCTTAGGCAGTGGGTTATGGTTTAAGAAACGTGCCTCGTTTAATTTCAACTGCTAACAGCGGCGCCGCGAGATCGAATCCAACCGGCGGTGCATTTTTCTGTGCTTTGCCGCGTTACAACCGTGGCAGGAAGCGTCTCTTATAACCGTAATAGCCGAACATCAAAAAAATAAATAAAAAAAGGCCAAGAAATGACCGGGTGGAGTGGGTCTTCATAATAGGACTTAAGCGTCAGGGTTCGCGTGACCTTTCCTTGCCCGTTTGTCTCCCTTGCTCCCTCCCCGGATCTGCGTTAGATTGCGCCTCTATGCCTCTGCCTCCCCCGCCCTCCGTACACTCTAATTGCCAATTACCCGCCTCGCAAACACCGTCCATTCGATGAGAGAGAGGCAACATTGTGACGTCATTGGAGTGTCCGTTGTGGTGGTGGTGGGTGGCCAGTGACGTCACACACACGTGTTATATCACCTTCGCTCGTAAGTGGTATAATTGAGTGACGATAAATCAGCATCTTCCAGCTCCCCAAATCGTGTCGGCCTTGGGGGTTCTTCGACCATAATTCAACCGCGCGCGCGGTCACGGTAACGGGTTGGTGAGAGAGAGGACCCCATGCAACTATCGCTGGCGTTAGCCGTGGCCAGCCCGGTGCCCCGTGTGGGGGAGGGGGGGGGGGGCCCTGTGCTAACCACAGCGCCACCGCTCAACCAGGGACTCTTGAGGGAGCACGCGCTGAAGGCAATTTGAACGTAATAGGCGCCGGTCAAGAGGCCGCTCTCAAGTTCTCAACCACGCAAGCCACTTTTTTTTTCTTCTTTGGTTCTTTCGGTTAAGTCACTTATAAAGATAAAATAATAAATTAAATAATAGCATACTACGACGTTTCGATTGCAACACAAGCAATCATCATCAGGTATAAAAGAAATAGCAACAAAAATCTAACCAGAAATCTATAGACAGACACACAAGCAGACAGACATCGCAAAGACACACAGAGAGAGAACACGTATCGGCAGAAAGAGAGAGGTCGTTTCTGTGACGAGGCCTTAAATATAGAGAGGAGGCGGGGGCGGAGAGAGGGAGGGGGCAAAGAAAAAATTAGCATGTCAATTTCTGTTGAAAGGGGAGTTGCCCCCCACCGCCCCGCCCCCCCCCCTCTACCCCCCCCCCCACTGCCCCCCACAATAAATGTTTAGATAGACGACTTGTGAGACTTTATTATGTATGCAAAATTGTCAAACTATATAACAACAATTAACTGAAGTATGACTGATAACTATGTAACACGATTTTTGTTTCTGGGTAGTAAGTGTTATTTTCTAATTGCCTATGAATCAAAAGTATAGAAAATGGCTGTTATTCCCCACAAACTTTGCTTTTGTGACCAGGACTTTATGTGAAGGCATGACACAAATTCGCCCGTTTCCTCATTGATAATAGGTACATTCAAAATATCACTGTCCTGGTCACAAAAGCAAAGTTTGTGGGGAATAATAGCAATTATCTGTACTTTTGAAGCATAAGCAATTAGGACATAACACTTACTACCCAGGAACGATTTTTTTTGTTTTGTTACATAGTGTTATTAATGGAGTGGATTATTCTCTTTGCTTTTGTGTCCTGGTCACAAAAGCAAAATTTGTGGGGAATAATAGCCATTATCTGTACTTTTGAGGCATAAGCAATTAGGAAATAACACTTACTACCCATGAACAAAAAATAAAAAAAAATGTTCGACTGATTATTTGCACCCTCCAAAACTGTTGGCTGATATTATCTTCGGCGGGCAGTATCGCGTCGAGACAGACTTTAAAGTCTAAGTCTCTATTTGTAGATCGAATAACATGGTACGTTATTTTGCGGTCGTGCATTTTTCAATGTTAATTTGACGGCCTCCCTCTATTTTGTGTTTCCCATGCGCGAACACAAAATGTTTCAAATGACCCCCGCTCTTTGTCTGTGCGGCTAATTGCTGTTCTCCCGTGCCTCCTGAGTGCCAAAGATTGCGAGTCTCTGGTGGCCTCCCTCGTGGTTAAATAAAGGAGATTAATCAATAGGCTCGGTTAGAAAGGGGTCAGCTGTGAATGTTTGTTCGCTTGCGGTGACGTCACTCACCGTTGTCTCACCAGTGACGTCATGCCTCCAACACCACCACTCACCACCACCACCACTCTGAACACGTGTAAATAACAAATTACATAAAGTAGTATGTGGGTCGTCTTGGAAGAGAATGCGAGTGCCCACACTTTACCCCACCACTGCATGTAGTTGTACCCGCCGTTTACATTTTAGGGTGGACCAAGGCCGACGGGACTTTGAGAAACCTTTAATAATAATCATTGTTTCAACTTCCACGCCGGCAGGTCAAACCGGCGACCTCCGAATGATCCAATGTGGTGACTATCGCACCACGGCAGCTTCCTCCTCGCGAGTGAGCAGTCGATGTTAACTATCACGTCACACGCGGCACGTGTGGAGTCGTGCTTGTGCGGTTCGATTATATAGCGAGGTGTGTATGTTGAGCCTTTTTGCGCACCGTACGTAGCCAATCGGAGGTGCGGGGGGGGGGACAACAAACTGCACACACAAAAAACACCGCAAATGTTACGCGTGATATTTTTTTGTGTGTTTAGCATCGTGCACACCACGATCGCTAAACAAACGAATATACTTCTTGGAGGGACGCAACTTTATATTTAAAAAATAACAACATCACAGGACTACTGTATGAATAGTTAGGCAAGTTATTGAAGGATGACAAGAATCAAAACGGTGATGAATAGAAGAGCGAGAGCAGATTGGTGCGCTGCTGGAAACACGAACTCGATGATGACCGGTTTCAATCGGCTCATATTACAGTACCCGCGATGACAGAGACTAGAAACATGAATACTGACAAAGTTAATTAAAAATAAAATATAGAATAAAGTGGCAAGAAGGGTGTTGAGTTGCTTGCGATAAAATCCAGAGAGAACGTGAAACTAGAAACAATACTTACGAATTTCGATTTAAAGCTTTCGTGACTGCAGGGATTCATCTTCTTGGTTCTTTCGGTAAAGTCACGTAGAAGGGAAGTAATAAAATAATAAAAATAAAACATAATAAAATAATTCTCACGACGTTTCGGCCACAACGCACCACCAAGCTTGGTGGTGTTTCATTCTTCACCTGAGAACGGCTGCTTGCGTTGTGGCCGAAACGTCGTGAGAATTATTTTATTATGTTTTATTTTTATTATTTTATTACTTCCCTGCTACGTGACGACTTTACCGAAAGAACCAAGAAGATGAATCCCTGCAGTCACGAAAGCTTTAAATCGAAATATAATAATATAATATTATAATAGTATTATATGATTTTAATATATTATTAGATAAATGTATTAATTTATTTCATTTGATATTATTTTATTATATTATTGTATTATGTTTTATATTTTTTATTTTATTACTTCCCTTCTACGTGACGACTTTACCAAAAGGACCTATAAGATGAATACTTACGAAATTGCATAAAAACGCGCCCAAAGAAGGAAGACGATTCGTGCACAAGCACGGAAGGCTTTCTTTACTTACTTGAGCGCACGGACAGATTTCCAACGTGGGTCTTGCCTGCGGTGGTATTTTTTTGCGCTCACGTTAATTCACAACGAGATGACGTCACAGGTAATGCCAACACAGCGTGATTTGTCGCACGCGACTACGTTCTTGGCTGAAAAACCGTATCCTTTTCTGCAATTAATAGCAACATAACTGCAAATAATTATACTGGACCATCCATAGAAACGTTATCGTGACACCCCCCCCTCCCCGTTACAGAGGGATAGATGGACAGAGCTGATGCACAACGCGTTCCAACTGCGGTTGACAGCGTCCAAAAAAAAACCAACCCGCCAATTATTTAAATCAACTACCATAGCGTGGTTGGCATGGGGCTCTGGTGCAAGGAATTGAATGGGGCACCTTTGCCCAATTTTCGTCGCCTTCGCAGCATGTGACCCTGCGCAGTTGCACCGCCTGCACACTCGATCGCTTACGACACTGACTCGTCATCACCACCACCACCACTAACTCCAACCGCTCCGCTGTCCTCCAGTCCTCCGCATCACCCCCACCCCCCTGGCCACTCTTCACTCCTCCTCCTTTCACCACCGCCCCCCAATCTCCCTCTACGCCCCCCCCCTCCCCGACCTTCATTCCCCATGCCCCGCCCCCCTCGCTGCTGGGACGCGGAGCGCGCAGCCTCCTTCCACGCGCTCCGGCACGCGACTCGGCCCGAGGTGGGAGCCCTGTGCATGCTTCTCTGGTGCTTCTCTATACCCGTGACGGCATCACACGCGTGTGCCTCCTATCTCTTCTCGTTCTCTCTCGTGTGTGTGTGTTGCGTGTTCTATTGTACGGTGTGGTACAATGAGCGTCGATATTAGAACGTGTCTTTCGTGAGTGTGGGTTGCCTGTGCATGTGTATGTGCACGTGTTTTTTGAGACGTCTCGTACTCCGTGTTCGTGTGACATGCATAGCAGTGCCCACATGGGTATGACACCCGCTATTCTCTTCCGCTCGTGTATGTGTGCACTGTTATTGTAGTGTGCGTTGTACATGTCGATAAAAAGTGTCATTGGAGAGTGTTTTTTGACTTGAGATTGATATGTGAGCGTTCAATGTAACATACGTAGCACTGAACACGTGTGTGCTATGCACGATTCTCTTTACCCATACAGCATCAAATGCGTGTCTATGTGTGTATTGTGGATAGTATGTATTGTAAGTGTGTGTGTCACGACATTATTTTAGTGAGTGGGTACCTGTGCATGTTATTTAGACATCTTTATATGTAAAATGTACGTATGTGTACCCTTATTACATCGTGGGTAGCTGTTAGCGCTTCGCGCTACGATCCTGGTGACCCGAGTTCGAGTTCCCGTTTTCGGAGCAACATAAGTGATGGTTATCTGAACCCCTAGGTCGACTCAGCCTCAAATGAGTAACAAGTGCGGTGTGTACACCAGAGGGTGGGGTGCTGGCCACCCCACCCTCTGGTGTACCGTGCCGGCCTTCTTAGGTGCTCGCTAACAGCACTTGCCCCAAAAGTCTGTTGAGGCTATATGGGGCGTTTTTGTCATGTGACATATACATGTGAATGTACGTGTGTGTGTGTGTGATAATGTATGCTTTTCAGTTTGTATACTGTGTTCACGTTTGTATATATTTTAGAAGCGACGTATGATCTGTATTCAAGTTATCTGCATTTAGGCACAGTGTTTTGTACGTGTAGTGCTGCGTGTGTGATTCTCTATGTCACTGGGTTAGTGACTTCAACATGGGACATGTTAGCTGTGTCTTTGTAGTGAAATAAGTGGAGCTTATCTCATTACGCACGTCTGTAAAATGACTCACGAGTACTGCGCTATGCAGTATATATATATATAGACTGTATGTCCTGTTTATATACTGCAGGTATAAAATCAATGCGTGTGCCCTGTGTCTTCGCCGCGCATTGTTTACAACAGTGCTGTCCATTCGGCGATGTACTATACATAGAATGTATATTCCCGTGTGCATTATTAATGCACGTCTGCATTGATTACATTGTAACATGTGTATAGCCTGATGTGACATTACATATTGTGCCTGCTGTATTTGCGGCGATTAAGAACTCCTCGTCACGACCGTGACTTGTGATGAAAGAACATCGCGTGTTATATGTGCTGTGGTGACGCGCGCTAGCGGCACTAAGGGGACTTATAGTGAGCACTGTCGTCGGTTCGATTCCCTGCTTGCGAAGCGGTATATGAACGCAGTCTGGTTGTCTTTTAGGTCGGCTCGGTCTAAAAACAAAATAGCCAGAGTGGCGCGTTCATTCTTAACATCAGCATCACGCACCACCGGCCGAGACAAACTCATCCCAGCGCCGCTGTCCATTTTTCGGTGGTGCTGAAACCATCGCCACCTCTACCACCAACGGCTACCACCCCATTCTCGTTGTATGGCGTGTCGCACTTAATAGGCGCTCGCTGACAGCACAATCTGGTGTGTACAGCTTGAAAGCGGCGACTGTGTTTATAGTGGTGGCGGTGGGTGGTGCTGTTGTTGTTGTTGGTGTGTTTATGCGAGCACATCAAAAGCGTGTAGGCTGTGCACGGTGTGAGGCACTGCGGATGCGTCGCTTGGTTCGCTCGCTCCCTGGGCCGGAGAGCGCCGTTGCGACTCTGCGGGGGGAATTGAAATCAAAACGCGGGCACCACTCATGGGATGCGCTGCGCAGTGTAGACAAAATACAACAACAAAATAAAATAAAAATCGCTCGTGAATTTTTTTGGAGGACAAAACTTTTAATTAGCCTTATGGTGCGTATCGTAGTGTTTATCAATAACTTTGCGTTTTTTTGTTGGCAAATATAGCAATTGTACACAGGGGCTTTTTGAAGGCACGTTGAGATGACTCCTATGTACCGTTCCTGTTAGTACTATTTTTCCTCCACATACACTTTAAGTCGACAAATAGACTAAATAGTATATCCTGCTTTTAAAATACACCATTAGTAGCCAATTCGACCTATAATTGTCATATGTTGTTGAGGTGACACATGTGCTAATGCTACCTCAACATGTGCTCATACACCACTGCCGACGCGGCATGTACACCGTTGAATCCACCCCACACCCCCGGCCCCCTCCATAAAATTGCGATTACAATAAAACATCACGTTTTTCAATACGCTTTTCACCAAACAGATGCTGTACATGGACCAACATTGCACAATAGGATTGTCGAAGGGCGCTTTTGAGCAAGCGAATTATTTTAGTCCGCTTTACCCGTGCCACCATTGCACAAAGCCGATTTTACACGAGGTTTGGCCCGAACACCTAACCCCGAGCGTTTGTCCCTTGTATTTATATTAGATAAATACGGATGGACGTTGGAGGTGCAAAGACATATATAGTTTGTACTATAATTGTATTATGAACCACCACCCAATAGAAATATACGGAACTGACAAAACAGCGATAACATGAAGGGAGAAGCATTGTCTGCTTTTTACTTTGCACGTTCATCGTGTGCAGACAGCCGTCGCAACTCTATAAATTGCTCGGAGAATTTTCTCTTTAAAACAATTCCGTTTGTAATTTTAGTTAATATTTTCTCACCCAGTTTTCCGTGTGGGTGTGTGTGTGTTTTGTTTATTCATGTGATGCTCGCGCTAAGGAAATGCTCATCTGGACACACACACACACCACGCCTTATCAGCAGAACACAGTCTGGCATGATAATTAACAGGAAAAAACCCCAACACACACATTATTTAAATGAGTTATAACGCCACAAAGTAACTTATGTGTGCCTTTACGTGGATAGATTTAAAAAAATATATAAATCAGTAATTGCCGAGCGGTTTGTAAATCCTCAATGTGTAAGTGTAATATTTTTTTTTTACCAAATTGTAATTGTTTCCGATAATTATTTTCACACAAAATTACATTCTACACATATTTTGCATGCATACATCACGCTATCTAAATTAATTGCACGTGCATTTTATATGTACATATATATCCACAGAGTTAAAATGCTAATTGTGTAGTTTTCTCCTGCGTTTGCAACGGTAGTCGAAACTAAACAGATGCCGCTCTCTCACACACACACATACCGACGCAAATAAGGCACCGTCTAATAGCATTTCTTGCAGTGTGTGTGGTGCATTTGATTAAAACAAAACAAAAATACGGAAATGGAGACACAAATTAATTCATTTATACTTGAGCGCGAGATTATTTGAGAACCATTCCGACTCTATTTCCCGCCTTGATAAGGTTTCATTACTTTCCAATAGCATCAATCCGCACATTGACTTACGGCCAAATTATTTGCAGACAAAAAGTAATCAGGCTGTCTGTTGAAAATGAGTTTCCTTCATTGGGATAAATGTGCCGCTTCACTTTATGAGTGGCTCACCTAAAACGCATGGTGCCGTAATTTCACGCGCAGCATTCGTGCTGCGCACATTCACTCCCGCTTACACCCAGAGCGTTATTCGCTTGAATATCACATTGGGGGAAAATATTGGTAGGTTGTCCACCTGTATTGCACACTTTATTTGCACACGTGTATCGTAACGCTTATTTATTCAATAAACCATTATATATTTTTACTTATTTATTTCCGTAATCGTAAGCAACATTGTAATTTGGCTTAGACGTTAGATCTTCATTGATTCACGTGATAACATAAATGAGTTGTGCCGCTGTATATCTCGAGCGTATTGCGGCGTGGTGACATCACACGAGCGTAGTATCCAAAGGGTATATGTAAGAAAAACGGTCCGTTTTTTTATGAAAGGTTTTAATCTGAAAGCGCGATAATTTCGGCAGCTCACAACACATCCGATTTAAAATACAGCAGTCGGATTCTTTGAGCGGAGATGCAATTTTAGCTCGCATTCACGCCATCAAATGCGCTTTACAACTGCTTGTTCGAACTCCCGTTCAAGTAATTACACCATTGAGGAATTCACAAATAGTGACCGCGAGTGCTTCTGGATGGTGAAAGCGATTGGCTCAGAGCTTGCGTTTGGCCAGGTCACGTAAGGTGTTCAAACAGGCTTCTCTCATCCGAGGACTCCTTGTTAATTCTTTGAAGAATTGCAACACTTTTTTTTGCTGAAATTCAAAGACGAGCTGTACATTTTCATTACATTTCAAAGGAATTGTTATTCCTGTATTTCTTGTTTTTTAATCAGAGTTGTTTGTAATACTCGGGAAATGTAATTTAACTGAGGGTTCAATTTGACCCCAATCACCCTTCCTAAAAATGGAAATAAGCAAAAATTCATCCAAATAAAATAAAATACAAATTAGTATATACAGTACCATATGCACATATTTTAACTAAAATTAGGAAATTAACATGTTTAAGTTGTATATTTAAAAAAAACCAATTTGCACCAGAAATTAAAAAGGAAAGGCTGTGCACTGTTATATATTTCTCGTTATGACGCCGAGATGGCAATGTATTTTTGAACAATTCTTCAGTTCTTTATTTAATGGGTTTATATATTCACTAGGAATAATTGTCGTCCATCGTGATTATTCATAACCCGTTAGTCCTGTTTTATCTCATTCCAATTTGCCTATGGGTTAAATCATACCCTCCTGGCCTTAAACAGCAGCTGTAGTACACTACCCCTGGTTGCAAAATATGATCACGTACGCAATCATAAACAGTCATATATGCACTACTCTTGAGTCAAAGTTTATCTACCACTGCAACATAATTCACGCCTGATTGTGTGCATAAACATGCTTTCTTTCATTCACTGCAAATGGGCACTTGGGAGTAATCACCTCGATTTCCAAGAACTCTCCCTGACACTTGGTAACGGTGTCTTATGGTTGTTATTGTTTGACTTGCATCACACTGGGATTTTTGCACACAGCGTTGTAATATGGTGGGTTTTTGTCTTTCTGGAAGATTTGCTGGTTTATCCAGGATGTTTCTGTTGCGCGTCGTCGCTTTAAGATGTTCTCTGTTCAGATTTTGTTTGTTGCGGTTGCACCCGACTCAAGAGCCGCATGGCTCACAGGGCTATACCTAATAAACGAAACTTTAACTTTATTACTATTGCGACGGTGTTGTTTCCCACTTTTAATGTGGGTGAACCTTTGAAGTGATACACTGCCATCACAAGCAACTCTAACTTAGATCCAAAACGGCAGAGAATCAAAGGCATGTGGAGAATTTAAGTTTTTTTTATTACAGTCAGATTCAAATGTTACATCTTTTCAAATTAAAAAAAAAGTGTTAAACGTTCAAATTTCTGAATTAAGTTCTTAACGGCAATGATTCATTCTCAACATACCGATTGAGCTACATATACATTAACTTGGAGATTAGTATCAATTTCAAGTTAACTATTTGGGGATAATTTGTCTCAGGTAAAGCTATCATATTGACCTTGAGAGTGTTTTAGATGGGACATTTAGGTCAGCGCCATTCTATTGCAGAGGGTTACACGAGCCTTAATAATGTCCGCAGGTTACACAATACCGCAATTTGACATTTCATCCAGGGGTTGACACCTCCTCGAACACAGGACCTGAATCTCCCTCCCCCATGGCATCCATGCTGTTGACTCCCTATCCCTATTCAAGTCCACACTCAAGACCTAATTTTTTGTTCCTTTGCACTGAAACTGACTGCCTCTTTCTTCTGTATAAAATAGGTGTGCCCACTGTTTTGGTACGGCTAAGATGCACTCGCATAGTGAATCTCTTTTACTCAAAATTGTACTTCGTAATAATAATAATTTCGTACATTTGATGTTTACGAAATTCTTACGTGACAAAAGCGATCACGAAGGTGAAGATATTCAAATAAAGTATCTACAGTCGTCTCACAGTGGAGGGCAATGTTGCTATGCGTAATCTCAATTTCACGGTACAGGCTTCGCTCGCTTTATGCGGGGATATGCGTTCGAACAAAAGGGCTTACAGTACACAAACAACGTGGTCCCACGTTCCACCACATAGTCGTGTACGAGTGAATTAAAACCGCGTCACATAGCGCATTTTGGTGAAAAATAGGTGCGCTATATGTACGCAAAATCGCACAAACTGAACCCACACAATGAGGCGGACCTGCAATGTATCAAACGTGGAAAATTTGAACCAGGACGCTGACACGCAATGACCTACCCTTTTTGAATGACGTGGCGGCGATCTTTAAAGTCCACTAGGCAGCAGACCGCGCGCACTCTGCGGTCGGCACGCCCACGGCAATAGCCAGGGGCGGCCCGCCGGATTCGAACCGTGAACCTCTGCAACATGCGGCGAACTCACTCCCGCCAGGCCGGGTCGCCGCCCCAATTTGTATTACGCACGATTGCGTGAGCACTGGCAAAAGGGTGCTGCGCCCATCCATCCGTACGGCTCCATGGCCTCGGTTCGTGCTGCTCCAACCCCACCGCCCTTTCTCTCCTTCCCTACCGCTGGGGGAGATGGAGGCGGGGGGTTGGAAACGATTGTTCATAAAGAATTTTTCTTTTTCAACCTTCATGCCAAGTTTTAGTTCACATTAGGCCCTTTGGTTGAAGCGGACATTCATGACAGAGGGGAACACTCGGCAGAGGGATGCCAAGATGGGAGCGCGAGCGGGGGTGGGCGTATCCCTGATGATAATCAAAAATTCATCGTCAAGCGTCCGTAGACAAGGTTAAATGATGCTTACGGCATACATGTTCCCCTGTGTGCTTCCCCGAACCCGTACCATGCAGGGGCATGGGAGAATTAGTTCCCACGTGTTCCGCCTTGGCTTAATCACTGCATTAGGCTATTCCGCGTCAAAACATCGATTGCTATTATTGTTTACTCCCATCGTTTTTTCTTAAAACAAAAACATAGCCCTGAAATTGAACACGATACCTTTTCCACTGCCATATCCGAGCCGAGCCAGTGCTTGGCCTTCACCGTGCAGGTGTTGCGTTTTCTTTCACTGGTTATTTGGTAAGTCGATCTGGAACTAAACCTTACGAGACATCTGAATCTGGCTTGGGGTTATGCAGGTGCCAGGGGCAGTGCTAATGACTAATTAATTGTGTGTGACATCGGAGAGTACACTGTAAGGACACGACATCAATGCAACATCTGCGTGTGCATCAAACCCGTTCGTTGTCATGTGTGTGACATCAGCAGCACGGCTTGGGTTCTGAAGTGGAAAAAACGTCTGGTTCAGGAGCTGCCAGCTATAATGGGAAATATGCATCTGTAAGTATTGCTATTGACTACTCCTCCCACTATCGTGCTTTTGCATTAACCACGTGATGTCACGACCAGTTCCAAGTGTGGCCCACATAATAGCTTCCAGCTCACTGACGAAAAGGGAACTACGTGGCCTGCTTCGGGAGTCCACGTGGTGCTGGGTTGGCCCGATAAGACTGGCTGTGGGAACCCAGGCTGAGCCTACGAGCCCTGTTTGCAAACGGAGCCGGTTTGCTTTCCAGCGGTTGTGAAAACGTGGTGTTGCGCATCATGCTGGAAAATCCCTTTAACTGACCCGGAGGAGTGAATGCTCTCCTGCCCGGCATCTCATGCAGCGGGCGATATTTTCACGATGGGCGCCAAGACAATTGCCTCTCTTCAATCCTTCTAAGTGCTGTTCAGTGACCTCATGAGGGATAAGGAAGCTTTGAATCAAAGATTATTTGTCAACACCCATGTAAATTTTTTTGGCGTAAAAAATGCAATGCATGGTAAGATGTGCAGACTGAAATAACTACAACGCGTTGGTCGCATTCCAGCTGATCCATGCGATACATTTCTCGTAAACTTTTGCTCTCCGTAATTAATAAACATGATCGTGATTAATTTTGCGTTACACTTTGGTACCCATAGCAATGCTTGGTAGAGTTAACATTTGCTTTCAATAAGTAATCCTTGCAGCATTTATAGGACATCACAAGGGTGGCATTGCAGAGGATTTGATTTTAATGTAACGGAGTGCTCGGTGTAAATAGGTATGCCACAGTTAGTCGATCGACATGTCGCTCTCGGTGGGGTAATGTGTGGTGGTCTCCGATATCTTCCAACGTTGCCTTATTTGTAGGGATGGCGTTGGATAGTTTGCTCGATCTATCGATGTGCCCAAGGAACTGCACTTTTTTCCCATTTAAAGGTCCTTTCTTGCCCTGATTGTGGCCGGTCAGTAATCGTGACCCACACGTATCCGTTAAGTGGTGTGCGCTGTCCGCGGTATTCGCAGTAACTTTCTGAAGCGTCCCGTTTCCTCTCGGTTATCATTGGCAAAAAAAGAGAAAAAACCAAGAGGGATTGTCGTGGGTGTTGGAGCTCTGTCTGGCGAAGGCCATGGCTTCCCAGTAAGGGCCTGCCAGAAAAATCGATCACCGTCCCAGAGACATTGGCGGACACGTTGCCCCGAGTAAAGCAGACGGGGGGGGGGGGGGGGCGGGGGGGGAGAGCTCTTTAAATCTCGGGGAGAGAAATGTGTGCAAGCACGAGCCCAGGGCTGCATCACTGTGGTGTAACAGCAGGTGATCAGGACCTCCAGGGACTCACTGTGGCCTTGCCAAGAGTGGCAGCGATGATGATGATGATGATGCTTATAATGCTGATGAACCATTTCACAGGCTGCTTATTTGTTTATTTTTATTCTCACTCAACGTACCGCATTAGGTTAACTGTTGAGCGCATACATGCTTTTTAAACTTTCTCCGTTTTGTTTTATTTTTGATACAGTTGATGCCGAATTGTAAGCACACCTTATATAAGCACAGTCCTGGGCTAAGCAACACATCTTTATACAGGCAGGAGGGGGAAGGGAAGTTATAACTACGGTTGCCACCCATCCTGGTTTTCCCAGGGTCATATTTTTTTGAGATAGCCATCTTTCCAGAACATTACACGTTAACATTGGCAATTTTTTTTAAACTTTAATTAGTTATATATAATTCTCCCCTCAGCTGATATTGTGATATATTTTTCTTCGAAATATATACATATATACATAAATGCAATGTATTTCATTGTATGTTCGCTGGTATTTGACTGCACATTACATTTTCAAGTAGTGGCGGTAGAGGAGATCACCCCCATCACCCAACTCTTTAGATCCACCACTGATGGCAACTCAACTTCTCATACAAGCACACTTTAGATATAAGCACACCTTTCCTTGCCTCCAAAGGGTGGGGGTGGGGGGGGTGCCAATTCGACTTGAATAATGATCTCACCGCGGAGAGTGATCATTTAAATGATGGTACCATTCAAAGTGATAATTTGAAAACTGCGGCCACACTTGTAATTTTAATGCAGCACGGGAATGTTTCCCTCTCGTTCAATTGAAGTTTTTGGGGCGGGGGTGGCGGGTGGGGCGGGCAGAGAAATGGCCTTTTGAGGCGGATGGGGAGGTGGGGGGTCTGTACAGCACCACTTTCTATTTTAGACTTCTTATCAGCAGAGGCCAGGGGCCATTCTTTGGGGCATGGCCCGAGCTGACGGCCCCCTTCGGAGCTCTCGCGGTTACTTTACAAATGTCCAATTTTTCTTTCACCAAGGATTTCCTTTGGTCACTCGCACACAAAAAATCCAGGGTTTAAACGGGCACATTTCTAGCGGCGCTCCTGGGTGAAAATAAAACAACGCACGTTGGCTTCGTCCATCCACCGCCGACGAATTGCATCTCGCATCCGTCGCTCGTGTTTTTGTCTCGAAATATTTTGCAAAGTTGAAGCAGGAAGGCATATGGGATGCGTAATGCATCGTTACATTTCGTAATGTATCACAACCGCTTTTTGAATGGAGGGTGATCAATATCCATTTTTTCACTACTCGACAGTTACGAGTACGAATGTCTACTAACATTTATAATGTTAATGTTATACCTTATTTCTTATGTGTTTGGATTCCGCACTGCTTTGACCATTATGTCATTCGACCCCTTTGTTCACCCCGCAGGCTGACATAATTAATTTCCTCATCACCGTGGATCTGCTGCCGTGGAAAAAATTGCACGAGAGAGTGGTGACTATGCCTGAATATTAAGTAGCCCGTTTCCGACTGCATGACAAGGACACCTTTGTAGCCTTCAGATAGAGGGTGGAGGAAATTGCGGATGGATTCTGGGCGCTTTGACGCCGTGCAAAAACCCACTGGATCAAAACATCTGCTGCCTCAGCAGGAGGGGGCCCTCACACTTTGACTGGTTAAGGGCTTGCTAAAAAATAGAGAGAAAAATCCCCCCAGTTTTAGGGCAACTGCAAGCAAGGCGAAAGCTTTTTGAACAGGGTGTGCGCGAGAAGTGCCTTGAGGATTTACGGCTGCGGTTTTTGGCGGTTAGGACGGTAATGGTTTAATCTGTACGGTTACTGAAGAAAAGTGCAAAGGCATTTTAGTTCAGTCGATTAAGTTTTCGTGAAAAAAACAAAAGAGAATCAATTCGCATCCCTGTTACCACTGCCATTGTTCAACATGACCTTGAAAAAGCCCTACATCGTGTGGAGCTTCTCTTTCCTCGTGTGCATGGTGTGCTCCCTGGAGCTGGAGTTTACCGGATCGTTGAACCAATGGGCCAGGTTTCTCCAATGGGACCCCAACTTGAACGGCAACCTCAGCTTCCAGTTCAGAACCAACATGACTGACAGCTTTCTGCTCTACCTGGACGACGGGGGTCGTTGCGACTACCTGAAGATGGTCGTCTCGGACAGCCAGGTGCAGCTGCACGTCATGATGCACTGCGCCGTCCCGCTCAAGCTCAGGGCCGGCCGCAAGGTGCACAACAACGCGTGGCACTCGGTGGAGGTCAGCGTCTTGTTCAAGAACGTCACCCTGACGGTGCACGGCGAGACGGTGCACGGCGAGGTGAGCAGCGTGGGCCAGTACCTGAGAGTCAACAGCAACCTCTTCGTCGGCGGAATTCCGGCCGAGGAGAAGGCCCGCCGCGTGCACCTGGACAAGGTCGCCCCGCCGTTCAAGGGCTTCGTGGCCAACCTGAAATACGGGAACGTGGCCGTGTCCCCGATCAGCAGCCACCAGGTCCGCTCCGTGGCGCCGCGCTCCTGCGCCTTGGAGAACCCCTGCCAGAACGGAGGGATTTGCTTCGTCGACCAAGAGGGCACGCTTTGCGATTGTGACAACACCGGCTTTCACGGACGATACTGCACCGAGGGTAAGGACGTCGCGATTGCTGCATTAACGAAAAAAAAGGCTAAACAAAGGCACGGTCGGCGCTACTTTAAAGGGGAAAAAAGTTTTGGCATTGCCGCGCTAAGCGTCCGATCGCCACCGAGCTCGTTGCTGTGCTTGCCAACGCACCGGTGACACGCGCTAGCACACACTTGGAGCACCGTGTGCGATTAAGAATGGACTGAATTGGGCTTTGGCTAACGAATGTTGGCATGGTAAATTACAATATATGCCATTGTCTTTCTTACTGCATAACTTATAAAAAATATATATGTATATACTGCACTGCCAGAATACAGGTATAATGAGCCAAAATTTCCACCAAACATTCAGTTTATTAACCCATTACTCTTATGAAATTATCACTGCAATTAAGATATGAGGGTCGATGTGAAATGCTCTATAAAAAAGGGTATCCACTACATAGACTTCTGACTTAATTATGCGATTTAATAAAGTATTAATCTCAACTTGTGATTATAAGAACATAATTAGCTATGTGCCACAGTCTGTAGAAACAACACTTGTAGCAGCTACAAACAGCTCACTTCATTAAGGCCCTCTTGTTTCATTGCTATCCAGACCTCCTTTACACTGGCGTCGTGATTGGAGCGGCTGACTGATATTAGTCTTTGTGTTTCCTGCTAATCTATGTAAGGCTTGCAGGCATTGGCCAGTGCTTTTATATTCCTGATACTGCAAAACGGAATTGTGATTTGGCTGCTGCAGTAGTTGAAATTTTCTTGACACCGATCAAAATGTTAAGGCTGTGAATGAATTCTCATCTGGTACAGGTAGGTGACGCGTCACCTTGATAATGTAAAGGACAAAATGAACTGCTATATACTTGCTGTCTCTTTGCCTTAGAAAAAAATAAGCACGCATTGGCTATACTGATATTGTTTTTATACATCTGTGTGTATCGATGCTATGGGTAGTGTTTACTTTCCATACCTGATGAACCTTACTTAAAATTTTAATTACTAGTTTTCACGAAACATGACGCATGTCACCAAAATAATTCTGATGAAAATTAAATTCATCCCCAACCCACGAACAAGTATAAAAACATATTATTTGTCCCATTCGATGACTGCTGTTACGTTGGGGGTGGTGTGACACAGTGCTTGAGGGTGTTGGGGTGGGGTGGTGTGACACAGTGCTTGAGGGTGTTGGGATGGGGTGGTGTGACACAGTGCTTGAGGGTGTTGGGGTGGAGGGTGTTGGGGTGGGGTGGTGTGGTGTGGCACAGTGATTGAGGGTGTTGGGGTGGAGGGTGTTGGGGTGGGGTGGTGTGACACAGTGCTTGAGGGTGTTGGGGTGGAGGGTGTTGGGGTGGGGTGGTGTAACACAGTGATTGAGGGTGTTGGGGTGGTGTGACACAGTGCTTGAGGGTGTTGGGGTGGTGTGACACAGTGATTGAGGGTGTTGGGTGGGGTGGTGTGGCACAGTGATTGAGGGTGTTGGGGTGGGGTGGTGTGACACAGTGCTTGAGGGTGTTGGGGTGGAGGGTGGTGGGGTGGTGTAACACAGTGATTGAGGGTGTTGGGGTGGTGTGACACAGTGCTTGAGGGTGTTGGGGTGGTGTGGCACAGTGCTTGAGGGTGTTGGGGTGGGGTGGTGTGACACAGTGCTTGAGGGTGTTGGGGTGGAGGGTGTTGGGGTGGGGTGGTGTGACACAGTGCTTGAGGGTGTTGGGGTGGTGTAACACAGTGATTGAGGGTGTTGGGGTGGTGTGACACAGTGCTTGAGGGTGTTGGGGTGGTGTGACACAGTGATTGAGGGTGTTGGGTGGGGTGGTGTGACACAGTGATTGAGGGTGTTGGGTGGGGTGGTGTGACACAGTGCTTGAGGGTGTTGGGGTGGGGTGGTGTGACACAGTGCTTGAGGGTGTTGGGGTGGTGTGACACAGTGATTGAGGGTGTTGGGGTGGGGTGGTGTGACACAGTGATTGAGGGTGTTGGGGTGGTGTGACACAGTGATTGAGGGTGTTGGGGTGGGGTGGTGTGACACAGTGCTTGAGGGTGTTGGGGTGGTGTGACACAGTGCTTGAGGGTGTTGGGGTGGTGTGACACAGTGATTGAGGGTGTTGGGGTGGGGTGGTGTGACACAGTGCTTGAGGGTGTTGGGGTGGTGTGACACAGTGCTTGAGGGTGTTGGGGTGGTGTGACACAGTGCTTGAGGGTGTTGGGGTGGTGTGACACAGTGATTGAGGGTGTTGGGGTGGGGTGGTGTGACACAGTGCTAGAGGGGTTGGGGTGGTGTGACACAGTGCTTGAGGGTGTTGGGGTGGTGTGACACAGTGATTGAGGGTGTTGGGGTGGGGTGGTGTGACACAGTGCTTGAGGGTGTTGGGGTGGTGTGACACAGTGCTTGAGGGTGTTGGGGTGGTGTGACACAGTGATTGAGGGTGTTGGGTGGGGTGGTGTGACACAGTGCTTGAGGGTGTTGGGTGGGGTGGTGTGACACAGTGATTGAGGGTGTTGGGTGGGGTGGTGTGACACAGTGCTTGAGGGTGTTGGGTGGGGTGGTGTAACACAGTGATTGAGGGTGTTGGGTGGGGTGGTGTGACACAGTGCTTGAGGGTGTTGGGTGGGGTGGTGTGACACAGTGCTTGAGGGTGTTGGGTTGGGTGGTGTGACACAGTGCTTGAGGGTGTTGGGTGGGGTGGTGTAACACAGTGCTTGAGGGTGTTGGGTGGGGGTGGTGTAACACAGTGCTTGAGGGTGTTGGGTGGGGGTGGTGTGACACAGTGCTTGAGGGTGTTGGGTTGGGTGGTGTGACACAGTGCTTGAGGGTGTTGGGGTGGTGTGACACAGTGATTGAGGGTGTTGGGTGGGGTGGTGTGACACAGTGCTTGAGGGTGTTGGGGTGGTGTGACACAGTGATTGAGGGTGTTAGGGTGGGGTGGTGTGACACAGTGCTTGAGGGTGTTGGGTTGGGTGGTGTGACACAGTGATTGAGGGTGTTGGGGTGGGGTGGTGTGACTCAGTGCTTGAGGGTGTTGGGGTGGGGTGGTGTGACACAGTGATTGAGGGTGTTGGGGTGGGGTGGTGTGACACAGTGATTGAGGGTGTTGGGGTGGGGTGGTGTGACACAGTGCTTGAGGGTGTTGGGGTGGAGGGTGTTGGGTGGGGTGGTGTGACACAGTGCTTGAGGGTGTTGGGGTGGGGTGGTGTGACACAGTGCTTGAGGGTGTTGGGGTGGAGGGTGTTGGGGTGGGGTGGTGTAACACAGTGATTGAGGGTGTTGGGGTGGTGTGACACAGTGTTTGAGGGTGTTGGGGTGGTGTGACACAGTGATTGAGGGTGTTGGGTGGGGTGGTGTGACACAGTGCTTGAGGGTGTTGGGGTGGAGGGTGTTGGGGTGGGGTGGTGTAACACAGTGTTTGAGGGTGTTGGGGTGGTGTGACACAGTGTTTGAGGGTGTTGGGGTGGTGTGACACAGTGATTTAGGGTGTTGGGGTGGGGTGGTGTGACAGCGCTTGAGGGTGTTGGGGTGGGGTGGTGTGACACAGTGCTTGAGGGTGTTGGGGTGGGGGTGGTGTGGCACAGTGCTTGAGGGTGTTGGGGTGGGTGGTGTGGCACAGTGCTTGAGGGTGTTGGGTTGGGGTGGTGTGACACAGTGATTGAGGGTGTTGGGGTGGGTGGTGTGGCACAGTGCTTGAGGGTGTTGGGGTGGGGTGGTGTGACACAGCGCTTGAGGGTGTTGGGGAGGGGTGGTGTGACACAGCGCTTGAGGGTGTTTGGGTGGGGTGGTGTGACACAGTGCTTGAGGGTGTTGGGGTGGTGTGACACAGTGCTTGAGGGTGTTGGGGTGGGGTGGTGTGACACAGTGATTGAGGGTGTTGGGGTGGTGTGACACAGTGATTGAGGGTGTTGGGGTGGGGTGGTGTGACAGTGCTTGAGGGTGTTGGGGTGGGGTGGTGTGACACAGTGCTTAAGGGTGTTGGGGTGGTGTGGCACAGTGCTTGGTGCACTGTGCTCTGAACTCCTAGCACCACTTGAGCTCAATTTCTGGGTAGACATCAGTGGCAAGCGATATTCAAGCCCTTCCGGTCGCCCCCCCTTCACCAAAAGTCACGCTGGAGGATGTTTAAGCAAATCCCCGTGCTGACACAGCACGGGGATTCTTTTTTTATCCAGCAGTAAATCGATGCATGGCTTAAAATTAATAATATTGTTGCTGTTACGATTATTATAAACAGCAAAGGCTGTCTGAATTGAGCTTTATATATATACACAATAATTGTTCCATTATAATGGGGGAAGAAAATGTAGTCCTTAATAACTTCTACTAGCCCTGGTGGATTCTCACGCACGAGTGAGACTTTTTCTCTTAATTTTGAGTCCTGTAATAGGCTTCCATCCGTTACATAAGTGTGCTGCTGCTGCATTTATACGTAAAAAAAAACCGCACGAGACGCCACGTATTACCCATTACACTCGACACACTACATACGTGATAATTATCGCTCGAAGTTTTTTTGGTTAATTGCATGTTGGTTGAAAACACCCCACATGAAATCTTAAAAAACGACATCGCGCTTCTGATTAAGTCGACGTTAAAGAAAATATTGTCATGGCAAGCATTACAAAAATGTACATCACTATTCCCGAGAGGAAAGTAGTGGGTAACTTTAATACCAAAATAGATGCTTGCAATTGTATGTTGTGCAATTAACAGGCACCCCCGTCCCTTGTAACACTACAGCATAATTCGCACTCATCACGCCGAGATTAATTTCGCTCCAACGTAACGTTATTGGTGTGACTCAACCCTGTGGATAAGTGTGAGATGAGGTTAAATTACCCCTAGCTATACTTGTACTGAGCAAGGATTTTAGGGAAATGTGGGATTTTAAAAAAAATCATACATCATTTGCATCTCATTTGCATACACCCCTCGCAATACGAACTACGATATGGCATTCGAATCCACTGTGTGTCAATGTTCAATGTTAATTCGTCGTTGAACGAACCA